TAATATATTATTATTATTTTAACGCAAAGGTGGGTCCAAAAAAGCAAGTTTTGCACATACAAAAAAACCAGAAGACACCAACAACGTGGACGACAATGATTATCATTTTCGTAAAGTATAAACTCCGTATTTATTGATACTCTCAACCATACAAAGACGACGGTGCCGGCCTCTCTTCTCCTATTTTTTTGGAATGTTTACTTTGCTGCAGCAAGTTGCGGAGAAAGCTGCGCAGAAAGGGGAAAATATCTCTACCAAAGCAACGATGAGGCATTAATACAGAATTTCGGGTTAGTGAAAGTTCGGGCTTTGCAAAAATAGGGAAGGAAGGGATGAGAGAAGCCAAGGGAGGAAGAAAGCCACGCGTAATGTCGCTTTCTTTTCTTCTCGATCCGTTTTCAGTCTTCGCCGCCGCACAGGTTCAGGAGGGCCCGCTGGTAGTCGCCTTTGGTGTCTTGCTGCAAAGAGATAGAGATAAATACATTGAATTTCGGGAGGTATTTTTGACTTTACACTGTCGATTCAATGTTATATTGCTCGAACTTAATTGGCAATAATAATAATAATAATAATAATAATAATAATAATAATAATAATAATAATATAATAATAAAAATATTTAATATTATTTAAATATAAAAATATTATTAAATAATAATATTAAATAATATTTATTATTAAATAACAATAATATTAATAATAATTATAATTATTAAATAATAATTATATAATAATATTTCATATTATTTAAATTTAAAAATATTATTAAATAATAATATTTAATTATTATTATTATTATTAAATAATAATAATAGGTATTTTTGACTTTACACTGTCGACTCAATGCCGTATTTCTCGAACTTAATTGGCAATAATAATAATAATAATAATAATTAAATAATAATATTTCATATTATTTAAATTTAAAAATATTATTAAATAATAATATTTAATTATTATTATTATTATTAAATAATAATAATCGGTATTTTTGACTTTACACTGTCGACTCAATGTCGTTTTGCTCGAACTTAATTGGCAATAATAATAATATTTATTATTATTATTATTATTAAATAATAATATTTCATATTATTTAAATTTAAAAATATTATTAAATAATATTATTTAACTATTATTATTAAATAATAATAATAGGTATTTTTGACTTTACACTGTCGACTCAATGTCGTATTGCTCGAACTTAATCGGCAATAATAATAATAAAATAATAATATTTAATATTATTTAAATTTAAAAATATTATTAAATAATAATATTAAATAATAATATTTAATTATTATTATTATTAAATAATAATAATAATAGGTATTTTTGACTTTACACTGTCGACTCAATGTTGTATTGCTTGAACTTAATCGGCAATAATAATAATTAAATAATAATTAAAAATTAAATTATTATTAAATAATAATAATAATAAATATTTAAATTTAAAATATTATTAAATAATAATATTAAATAATAATATTAAATTATTATTATTAAATAATAATTACTATTATTATTATTATATAAGAATATATAGAACTCTCTGCCCTGGTGGAGGCTTTTAAACAGTATGGTGGAGGCTTTTAAACAGAGACTGGGTGGCCATCTGTCAGGGGTGATTTGAATACAATTTTCCTGCTTCTTGACAGAATGGGGTTGGGCTGGATGGCCCATGAGGTCTCTTCCAACACTTGGATTCTATGAATCTATAATCTAATAATAATAATAATAATAATAATAATAATAATAATAATAGTAATATATTATTATTATTATTATTATTATATAATATATAAATTAAAATAAATAATTTAAATTAATATTATAATATAAATAATCTAATAATAATAATAAATATAAATAATCTATGATTCTATAATCTAATAATAATGGTATATAATAATAATATATTATAATATAATTTATAAGTAAATATAAATAATTTAAATTAATATTATAATGTAAATAATTAATAATAATAAATATTTATTTTCTATAATCTAATAATAATATAATATATATAATATGTAATGGAATATAAATAGTTTAAATTAATATTATAATATAAATAATCTAATAATAATAATAAATAATCTAATAATCTATAATCTAATAATAATAATATAATATATAAGTAAATATAAATAATCGAATAATCTATCATTCTATAATCTATAATCTAATAATAATAATATAATATATAAGTAAATATAACTAATTTAAATTAATATTATAATATAAATAATCTAATAATAAAAATATAAATAATTTATCAGAAAACATTATACTATATTATAAACATAAACAATCTAAATTAATATTACAATTTAAATAATCTAATAATAGTAAATATAAATAATTATAATCTAAAATATTATTATTTTTTTGTCGTGTCAGGAGTGACTTGAGAAACTGCAAGTTGTTTCTGGTGTGAGAGAATTCGCCGTCTGCAAGGACATTGCCCAGGGGATGCTACACAGATGTTTTACCATCCTTGTGGCTGGCTTCTCTCATGTCCCCTTTGCATAGGGAGCTGGAGCTGACAGAGGGAGCTCATCCGTGCTCTCCCCGGATTCAAATCTCCGACCTTCAGTCCTGCTGACACAAGGGTTTAACTCATTGGACTCACCTGAATGAAGTAATAGAGGGACTTCCCGTATTTCCTCTTGAATTCGCTCTTAATCTTGAGCATGTCGACCTCGGCGCGGGAGACCATGATCCGGGTCAGAATCTTGTCCCGGGTGCCTTTGCCCTGGAACGTAGACAAGAGACCAATCATCACAAACTCCATTGGAAGTGATGCTCAAGAGAGTCATGGCTCCCATTCCTTCCAATGGAACGTGGGTTGGAGGCCTTCCCAAGGGATCATGACCCCAGATGGACTTTGGTCATTGGTTGTACCTTCATGGACTCGTAGAGGCGGTCGGCGAAGTACAGCTGCTTGTTCTGGATGCACTGAACTGTGGAAGGAGAAGAAAATGGGAGATTTATGGATAAGACACTAGTAGGAAAAGTAACATTTCTTTGGCTTCATACTCCCTCGGAATCTCCAGGTCCTCCAATGTGACTCAATATTTAACTTCCATTGGAGGACCTACAAAAACTTAATGTTCTCCCTAGGAATCCTGGTGTCCTCCAGTGTGACGTTGTGGTCAACATTCATTGAAGGACCTACAAATGCTTAATGTTCTCCCTTGAAATCTCCAGGTCCTCCAATGTGACTCAATATTCAACTTCCACTGGAGGACCTACAAATGCTTAATGTTCTCCCTAGGAATCCTGGTGTCCTCTAGTATGACGTTGTGGTCAACATTCATTGAAGGACCTACAAATGCTTAGAGTAATGTTCTCCCTCAGAATCTCCAGGTCCTCCAATGTGACTCAATATTCAACTTCCATTGGAGGACCTACAAATGCTTAATGTTCTCCCCAGGAATCCTGGTGTCCTCCATTATGACTTTGTGGTCAACTTTCATTGAAGGACCTACAAATGTTTACAGTAATGTTCTCCCTCGGAATCTCCAGGTCCTC